CATGCGAGGATTTTTTTTATTAGAATTCATTCCGTCAGAAACTTTCCTGAATACTGAAACCTTCAATTTTTCGCTCAGACAATAGAGGAATTCTCAACGTGGAGATGCGTGAGGATCTACAATATTTTTTCTTCCACGAGTTCTGCCGCCTCCCAAGCAAAGAGACAGCTCTGCTTCCAGCAGTTGCACTAATTCAACAATAGGTGCTGTGCGGACGCGTGGTTGAGCCACACGGCGGTGTAACACATCCGTGCAAATGCTCGATTATGAACATAGAAGCACATGAGCGATCATTTGACTTTTCTGCAGCTTGTAGAGTTTTGATAATCATGATAATTAGGCGTGTTTAATTGACCGATGCTTTTTTTTTCTTTTCTCCCTCCCTCAGGAGTAAGACTGATTCAGATGTGAGGCCTCCTCCTCCTCATCCCTTCATTCTGGATGGTCATGACCTGGGGATAAGACGAACTGATGCATCACCAGGAGCTGACCCTCTGGCTGATAATAACTTGATCACTATGTTTATCATCACTTGCTGCATTATTGTGTAAAGTTAGGAAAAGTTTATTGTCACAGCCTCATACAGATGTCAGCTCAAGCTTCTTTGTGAAAATGTGAATAAGCAAATCCAGCTGTTTGTTGAAGTGCTACTGGTGAGACAGATTTTTTAAAAAGCAGAAAACCCCCTGGACACGGATGGAGCACAGACGATGCAAAATCACAATTTTCTATCTTTGTTTTGCTGAAATACATCTCAACTTTATCACAGCAGAGAGTCGTTTTTCTTCTTCTTTCATGACTGTATCCCTGAGCGTGTGGGTGTATGTTTTTATTCTCTCTATATGAGACAGAAAAAAATGAAGCAATGGACACAGAACATGTGGAAACATTATATGTCCATAAAAGAAGGAGTTGGGGGGTTATCACACTAAAGTTTGACTATCATGAAAAGGATATTGGATCTAGCATGTCAAATCAATTAGCCCAGAGAGGTAAGCTGAGTCAGAAATGTGCTGCGGTGGAGGACCAAACGCACTAAAAATAAGGAACAAAACGGCCCCAAAAAGAAAGAGTGCGTTGCAAGCACCCGTCACACACGGAATAAGCCAGCAGCTTTGGAGGCTATATTTCTAAACGTTCGAAAAAAAACACAGTAATTTGCTCTGCCTCCACTAAAGATAAAGTTAGTCTAATAGCCTATAGGCAGTTCTGATCTAGGCTGTGGCCTTGGAGAGATAAGGTCCTATACTTCTGACTCAAGCTTATTTAGACTGGAAACAATCCCCATTCTCTCCAGAGCCACTTACAATATAACGATAAGCACGGCAACCAGATCAGATATAGAAAGACATTTAGAGGTAATCAAATCAACAGTGTGATTATCTGAATATATAGAAGGAAAACTGCTGAGTTAACAAACTTCTACTCATTTATGATAGATACTATAACTTCAGCAGGTCTAAGTGACTGTGACACGCAGTGATAGATACCTTGTGCTCATTTGCATTATTCAGAGGGTTTAGGTCAAATAACTGTTTGGCTGTAAAACAGCATGTGCTTAACCTTTATTAGTCTTCTGAGAATAACACCACTGCTGTGAGGTCATTTTGAACAATGAGTCATAATATGAGTTTCTACACCCCTCACAGGACCTATCACAACTGAGGCTTCGGCACAGTGTGATTAATAAAAACTATTACTCTTCATTTCTGTAAACACACAAATGGAAAAACTACTACACTGTCTCTAAATAAAGCTGAGGTGTAGTGGGACCTGCACTCAACAGTGTGGGGATAAAGGGAACTATTGGCAGATATTTAATGTAGAATAATCCTCATGATGTTTTCACTAGTTTCTTTCATCTAAATTATATGAATTATAGTTTTCTTTATCCCAGAAAAGGCCCTTTATATTTAAATACTTTATATTTACATTGAGGGGGACCCTCTCTACAGAGGCTGCCATGTTTTTTACATTAGTCCAGACTGGACAAACTAAACACCTTTTGAGTTTTTATGACAACTGAAGCTACCATAGGTTTTTTGTCATGTTTGGAAGGAGAGGGTGAGGTGAGGGCTGTTCAGCTGCAACATGCAACTTCAACACTCGATATCACTAAATTCTACACACTGAACCTTTAAATACTGACTCCATTCAACAAGTTTTCCGTTCATTGTTCTTGTGTTAGTCTTGTGCAGAACAAAGCTAAAGCTAAATGCAAACACAGGTTTTTATGTTAATGCTGGATAGAGAATTTGAATGACGCCATTCAACAATCTGATTCATTTCCTTTGACATCAGTTTAGTTTGACGTTTTACCTGCAGCAGTGACGACAATGCAAAAGAGCTTTGCATCACAAAGACTACAGAGCGAACACTGTTTGAAACAGGAGAAACAGATTAGAAGCAAGGCTGTCAGTGGTAAGATAGGCATCTGAGAAACATTGTATCTTCAGAATACGGAAATCCACTCTGTGATTTGTAGCCTTGGGGAGTTACTTTTACAAGGTGCCTCCAAAAGGTGCACTGTTTTTCCAATGTGTTTGATCTTATCAAATATATGTGACCCACAACATTTCACAGAGGGCAACTCAAACTGATGGCTGTTATCATAACAAAGACTGCGATGCACCAAGATGCATTCAGGTGTGTGAGACAAAAGAGAAGAAAAAGAGAAGCGTTAGCCTGTGGGCATGCATGGCGACTTTAATCGTTTGGTAAATGAGGACTAAAGAAAGTGAGCTATCGTTTATGGTCCCATGATGAACATGCAGCGTTACCTCCACTTAGATTCTTATCTGTCTAAAACACTGCACCTTAACCTATGACTTACAGAGGAGGATTTCCTACTTCCCCCTGAAACACTGCATGCATTTTAGTAGATAGCTGGGATATCTCAAGAGGTATTTAAGACTTTTCCTGTACTATTATTATTATATCATTATCTGCAAAAAAAAATATGCTTTCAGAGTTTTTATGTTTTGATCAGACATACAACACAATCCATATATAAAATATCAATATGTCATATATATGAATCTCAGAGTGTCAGTTCTTTACTTGATCACACATTTTTAATCCTATATGATATCCTGGTTCGCAATTCTCGATTGCACTCGGAGGTGCTGAAATCTTTCAACCTAAGCTTAAAACATATGCCTGTTTAACCTGAGTTTTGATTAGAGGTACAGTGTGTAGAATTTAGTGATATGTAGTGTTGAAGTTGCATGTGGCAGCTGAACACCCCTCACCTCACCCTCCCCTCCCAAACATAATAAAGAAACTGTGGTAGCTTCAGTTGTCATAAAAACTCAAAATGTGTTTAGTTTGTCCAGTCTGGACTAATGTAAAAAACATGGCGGCCTCTGAAGAGAGGACCCTTCGATGTAAATATAAAGTATTTAAATATAAAGGGACTTTTCTGGGGCAAAGAAAACTACAATTCATATAATTTAGATGAAATGAACTAGTGAAAACTTCATGAGGATTATTCTACATTATATTGCTGCCAATAGTTCCCTTTGACCTAAATCTCTTTATTTTCTCTAAATTGTATTCAGTTTTATCTGTCCATTAATATCTTAGTATGTATTCTCATCCCATTTTCTTTACTTTCATAATTTCTATGTATGTTTTAAATCTGATTTTGCTGTTAATATAGCTTGTAAAATCTATTTTATGCTTTCCCCTGGTCAGCATTTAGTTTGTTTTGTCTATTCTTGGCTCATCGGTCGATTGTGAAGCATTTTGAACTGCACTAGCCTTTATGGAATCTGCTCTACAAATAAAGTTGGATTATTCATGTCAGCAGCTGACACTTCCCAGCAGGATGTATCTGTGAGCCTCTTCCAATAAGTAGCATAAACATTTATATTGACTCTGTTTTGATAAATAACTGTAGCTCATTAGAGTTATTACACTGTTGTAAAATGATTGATTGCATATGACTGAAATCCAGTTGGACACAAGATGTTACTGCCCGACTCTAAATACCATCATTGTGCAAATGTGCATGCACTCAATTGGCCACAAGAGGGCACTTTTTGGCTTAAAGTGACTCATTCTACAATGCATACTGTTATCTGATGAAGGCTGCCATAATACATCTTACATGGATACTTCTCTAATCGGACTTTACACACAGTAAGTGAGGAGGTGAACTAACATAGAAGTCAGGGTGTGTGGTATTTGACTTCTGTAAAGCTGAAGGGTTTTATTTCTGAACAGTCAGTCGAGAGGAGAGGATATTTTATTGCTGAAAGGTGTCACACTAATAAACAACCATGTGATTCCCACTGGATTGATTCTCCAGCACTGAAATATATTATTTCCTGCTTTAATGATAATATATTGCACTACATGTTAAAAAGCCTTGTGTAAAATTAGTGGAGTGTATGGATGCTGCAACAAAGTTAGTCCATCAGTGTCATGCCGGTTTATTTGAGCTATGGCTTGGCAAACACAGGCCTATACAGTGAAGGTTCTTAACAGAGATTTGCCGTTGAGCTAATATTTTTGTAATCAATATTAATGAAAGCAAAATATAGCAGAGCAAACATTCTGAGGGTGCTAGACAAATTACATTTTAACATGTGGTCATCCTCAAAAAAATACTAACTTTGACATCACAAGGAAAACACATACAGAACGCTGGTGAAACAAGAGGCCCAATAAACTGATCCTGTAAGAAAGAATCAATGAAACTACCCTCAGAAAAATGCTATAGGGCTGCAACAGCAACCAAGAACTTAGAGAAAAGGCTTTCACATCAAATGCAATAACTTTGTAACCATCATAACCATCATTCCCATTAGAGCCACTTTATTTAAAATTGCAAAAATAGGGCTTGAAAAAAATCAGCCATGTTTAGGGGACTGATATTAATAAGTGTGTACAATTTGGTTCAGCTCCAAATAAAAACCTAGTGAATTTAAATGTGTTTTAAGGGGACTGTTGGTCCTTGGTGGACATATGCACGCTACTGAGGGCCATTGTATTAATATATGTGATCTACTGTGATATGTGTGTTTAACCAACTTGTAAAGCCAAAGGCAAATTACCACATCTGGGAGCAATGAAGTTAATAACAACGATAATGATAATTGTTATAGGAGTAGCAGTAAACTTAATACGTTTTTTGATAATGTGACAGCAGATAAAACACGTACTGCACAGAAAGCACGTGCACAGTAAGCACGTGCACTTACATCTGCAGAGTCCTACAGGTTTATTGGATGTTGCCATGGTTACATCTCATCCAGCTGAAGGTGTCACAGCCGCTCGAGCCGCTGGGAGCTGTCCACATGCTGTGGTGCTGAAACTCAGAGGAGACAAACACACGGAGCTGCTCTCAGGCCCTGAACACACCTGGTGTTCACCATAGATGTATATAAACATGTGGTTCATGAGATCCGATCACGACAGACCACATTCGGAGGTGGTCTGGGCCTCGTGTGTCTGTGACCTGGGACGATATGACCTGTGTGATATGAAGGACTTCCTGACGTCCTCTGCAGTTTCACTATGAACCGAAGCTATATTTTGTCTTCCCGTTGATTTGTTTGTAATCACCAGCACAATGTATCAACACTGATCACCACATAATGATCGATACTTTCATTAAATTGTTAAAATCTTTATTCCCAGAGCCTCTCTCTCTCGCAACATCGGACACAAATAATATGACATGGTCATCGTGAGCAGGGGGTGGGGGTATGAGATCCTATCTGAGGTCCCATCACGAAAGCCGTGTGGGGCTACAGGTGTGAATGCAGGCCTTAAGAGCTTCACAACAAGCTCATGTAAATACCAGGTGTGTGTATACGGGGCCTGACCTGTGTCCCTGCGGGAGCTAAATTCTGATGCTACGGTTAAATTGACCCATTAAATCAACCGCCCCCACATGACTCGCACTGTGACAAATCACCCGGGTGACAAATAACTTGGACACGTCTATCAACTCGATCTTTTTCTACTATGTAGAGAGAGGTTTTTCTCACTCTTAATAATGCTGTGGATTCCTGATCATCCATGTGTTGTTAATAAAGCGATGTTTTGAACAACATGGCGGAGGAGATGAGCATCGAGGGCGACTGTGGCTCTGCAGGGACAGACTCGTTTCCCGAGAAGGATTACGAGTGTAAAATATGCTACAACTACTTTGACCTGGACCTCCACATCCCCAAACTGCTGGGCTGCTCCCACACATTCTGTAGGGAGTGCCTGGACGTGCTGCACTCCCAGGGGGGTCGAAGATGGAGGATCGAATGCCCCGTGTGTCGCTACCGGGCTCCGGTGCCGGAGTACCGGGTGCATAACCTCCCCAACAACACCGCGGTGACCGAGGCTCTCCCGCTGAAAGAGTGTGGGACCCCAGACTTTCATCCCACGGGTGCATCCGTCTCCTCTGCAGCAGCCTCCACTGAGGGCGAAGACAGCTGTCATACGTGTGAGCAAGTGGTGTTCAGGACGGGCTGCGTGTGCGCCATCTTCTCCGTCCTGTCCACGGTGGTGCTGTTGTTCCTGGGCCTCATCTTTGTGCAGAACTTCAATAATAGCGTCTCACAGCTCGGCCCAGTTTGTCTCTTCGTCTCAAGCCTCCTCGCCCTGTTCTCGCTCATCCTCACGTGGCTGACGTACCTGTTGAAGCACCGACCTGAAACTAGAGCTAGCAACTTCGGTTCCCTCAGCTTCAACCTAACGTGACTGTCCGGCTGCTGAGCTGAAGTCAACTCAGCCGTATGAGAGTGTGAATTTATATATATATATATATATATATATATATATATATATATATATATATATATATATATATATATATATTGTGCTTTGACATCCTTATGCCTCTGTCTGATAAACGACTCACTGACAAAACACTGACCTTTGTGGGCAGGTTTCATTCAAAATAAAGTTTTATGTGACAATATAATATATCACATATTATACAATTTAAAAACGTGTCCGCAACATATGTTCGCCTATACACAGGATTTCTTTACGAAGTCTTAAATCCAATCATCTGAATTTTAGGCCACAAAATGTCTTTAGACCGAGCTTGATTGTGAAGATAACATTACATTCATGAAGCAGCATTCATTTTTGTCTCACTATAATGTGAACTTGTGTTGATCACACTGTAACAAAACAACACATGGAACCAATAACCACTAATGTGAGTCCAGTCACACTTTTTTTGGTACTAGACTGAACTTAAGTACTGTATCTGTCCATACTCCTAAGATTTTCCTCCGTATGATATAAATTTGGATGTTTTCACAGAAGGCATTCTGACATGTGACAGGATGAAGAGAACACGTGTAAATAATCAAATGAATGATGAAGGCTGCTGCTTTGGTCTCAGGGACCTGGTTTTGTGCAGGCTGGCTCACTCTCACACTGTTATGACTCTCAGGGCCGAGAATAGAACAGGAACCTTATTGCTTCTCTACCACGACAAGTCAAAATGTCCCCTGAAATGTTCTGCTTTGATCTAAACTGATATATAGCCCATAAAACATTTCAACTATATCTACAGCACATGCAGTTGAGCAAATCCCTCTTCCAATTTAAATCCATTTACATTAAAACAAGACTGAAAGCTAAGGCATTGGTGGAAGTAACAGGTTTTCTACTTCTTTACCCCATTTGGAACCATATATAAATCCACTAGATCCTGATTTTTTATTTCGATTTGCATGTAATTAGACACACTTATCGATACCAAACCCTTAAGATTCACACTTTTTTTTAAATGACCTATTTCACCATGTTTAAGACAGTGAAAACTAATTCTGGGATCTGCAGCCTGACTGCAATCTGCATCAAACTATATCTGCTTCTTCCCTGACACATCCTTCCACCATCTTTTGTGGTAATCAGTCAAGTAGTTTTTGTGTAATCTTGCTTAAAAACCAACAAACCAACCAACCGACAGGGATGAAAACATCGGTGGAGGTTATAAGGGGCAGGATAAAACATGTATACTGTTTACATAATTACCAGTGATTAAATTATGTAAATTCGAAACATAAAAAATGTAATAGAAAAATAAGAGATGAAAACATGACGACCTCCTCGGTGGCAGTAATAAAAGTAAACTATAGAGAACAAGTTGAAGTATTGATTCCTTAACATAAATATGTGAGTTTCTTACAGAATTACCTTTTATATATAACTTTGTTATTCTTTATTTTCAAGCCCTTTGAAGGCACATTTGCAATTTTGAGAAATGTGATTGTGTATAAAAGGGATGCCTACGCTTACTCTGACAACCTAAAATCATCAATCAAGAGGCATGCTAATGTTTCCATTAGCAGTCACAGGTTGGAATAATAGAAAGACAGCTCATTAGAGCAGTATCCTCCCCTCCTCTCCTCCCACATTTATCTGTTGCACTGAAACAAGATACCAATTTCCGAAGGTGCTCAGAGGCTACCATGTGAGCAGATTCAGATATATGCATGTATGTGTCCGGCTGTTGGTTTGTAACATAATTATTATAATTTTCCTGTGCTCCCACCATCTCTAAAGACAAGGTCCATTTTGCCAATGACAAGACCTTTTTCTTTTTCTACCTCATAGCCACCTTTGTGTTATTACACTGACTCCCCGCCGTGGTGCAGATCAGCAGGGGATCCTGGGCCAATGACCCTGAGGGGACATGAGCCTTCACAAGATGAGAGAAATAACTTTGGGGTAGGGGGCCAAAATAAGTAGTGTTTTATAGGAGTGAGACTATGGAAGTGCAGATGACCTCCTAGGGGTCTTAAACCATCTTATGGGCTTAAGTTTGCTTTTCCAAGTCGTATAAAGTGCAAGAAGATATAAACTCCACTAACGACTTGGCCATGCCTCTCGATGGTGTAGGGTTACAGTGAAGCATGGAATAATATAATGCTTAATTGTGTTTTTTCTGATTTGTTTGATGTAGATTAAGCTGCAAATACACATTCCTCCTCACCCGTCATGGCACATGTTTAAGAAACAAACTCTCTACAGTATTTGGGTTATTAGATCAGTTATGATTCATAAAGATGTCTACATTTCTTTAAGGTATTTGCAGAATCCTGACAACACAGCAGGCATTTATCTCGGCTTGGTGTTGTTTTAAGAGGCGACACTGGTCTCAGGAGTCAAAATCCATCTCTTTCAGCTCAATCAAAGGGACTCCTTCATTTGGTCATCCAGTCGGTGAGTAATGCCACTTAAATGCCACCGTGACAAAAGCTTGGGAAGAAGAAAAAAAGGAGGGGTGGCAGGCTTCCACTGGGAGCCGTAGGCAACACTGTGTCTGGGGCAGAGGGCTTCATTTCACAGTGACTGCAGGGCTTAAAGTTAAAGATTACTTTGAAATCTGCATCCCCTTATCATCCAACTCTCCTGCTACATCCCACCTTCCCTCCTCCCTGCAGCCGTCACTCCCAGAAAAAATAAGAAGCTCTCGCCACAGAGCAGGAGATGAGTTGGGGAGCAGATCCTCTTTGATGACAGAGAAGGATCCTTTTGTTCCCTAATCCCCTCACAACCCCTTACCCCCTCCCACCCTGTGAGTCCAACTGGACGTCGAGAGGCTACATATCAGTCAGAGGCTCAAGCGTTATTAGTTTACTTTAAAATATTTGAATGTAAAAGCGACGTCTTATAGTAACAGCTCAGATATTTCATTTACTTTTATTAAATTTGGTCTTGCAAGACTTAAAACAGCAAGAACTTCGGATAAACATATCAGTGGTACAATAAGTCACATGACACTGGTCAGTGGTTGTCATAGGTGGATCCTCAGTGGAACAGCCATTAGCCATGGTGAACACTGTCACAAACAAAAAACAGAGTCACACAGAAGCAGAGAGTTCCAGGAAACATTTCGTCCCCTTCCTGTGTCTGGCCTTTAAGTGTTTCCAAAGTGTGTCTCTGAGTCATTATCGGATTGGACGCACGTATTTCACAGAGCAGATGAAAGTGTTCCTCTTGCTCTTAACATCTGCCCTCTGATGGTCGAGTCCCATCAAGATGACCCCAAAGACACGGCCTGAGGCGAGCGATTATCACCAAGCTGTATGCTCACTTCTGGACTCAGTCATGTGATGACATGCATGTGTGTATGTGCTCACCCAGGCGTGGAGGAGAAGAGGACACCAATTTGTGTGCGTGTATTTGTCAGAATACGTGTGTACTAGACATATGGCCTAACAAGCATGCAAACACCCCCAAAGAGCAGCGAGAAAGGATCAGTGTCTCGGGTCAAAGTGCCAAACACGGCTTACCTAGCCATTTCCCTTTCATCATATTCAAGCTCAAAGAACACAACCCTCTGTCCTTACAACTCAAGTACACACACTGAAGAAGTGCAGGGAATTCATGAAAGAATGCACACTGACTCCCTCTGGTGTATAAAAGTGAGATTGCAAATCTAAATCAAACCATGCACTTTATTTGTCCACAGCCTTATTTTTGGTGAAATAGATGGAAGTGTGTGTGTGTGTGTGTGTTTGTGTGTGTGCGCGCGTGCATGCAGGTGGAGAGCTAAACCAAAAGATCCCCAAGATTATGAGTCAAATAGTAGAGGAAGGGAAAAAATATTGAGAAAAAGAGAAATAACAACAATAAGAGAAAGAGACTTTTTTTCCCCCTCTTACAAATTTCTTTCCTTTTTTTTTAATCTTCTTTTCCCGTCCGCTTTCTTTTTTTTAATCAGAGGAGTCCAGGCAGAGGGATCTTGCAGTTTCCCATGTTAGCTGATTTTCTGTGTTGACTGTTATATCCTTGTTTTTGTTTTAATATTATGTTTTTCCAGATTTATAGTCTCAGCTCTAAAGTAGCTTCAAAATAATATTTTGTTTTCCTATGCTTTTTGATGATTAAAGGCCAAAACACAACAGTAAACAAAGAGGTATTTCAGTGTTCAATTTCTTGGTCAAAGCACTGCTGACATCAGCAGTTCTTGGTAGCTTCATTTTTAAGTGGTGTAGATGAATCATCAAACTACGCAGCACCAAGTCACTGGTGCATTCTGCCTAATGAGGTCTGTTTTTCAAATGGCCACCAGTTACTGTCATGGGACCAGATTATATTGATTTTCAACACCAGAACTGTGACCAATCGACAAATTGTTCAAAGAGGCTCTATGAGGGATGGTGTCAGATGATTGCAGTCTATGGAACTTATTTTTGTCAATGTATGTATTTATCAATCAATCTTTTGTTTGTTTAAATTAAGTCATCATCCTATGTTGACACATATAAATGAGGCAGCGCAACTGGGGTATAAGAGAAACAAAGGGACAACTGAGGGAGCACATGGTACAAAACTATGGGCTGACTATACTGATTAGACAGAGAGTTGGTAAGAAAAAATCCAGAATTATCCAGAAAACAAACCAGCAGCAGTGTAGTTTCCTCTAATCTCCACCTGAATCAGTTACTGTTGTTAAATATGAGTGAACTACAACAATTTTAATAATATATGACTGTAAAAAGAAAACAGCACGACAGAATACTTTTAATTTAACCATAATTAATAACATGTTTTAAGAAAAAATAGGTGCAGAATTTTGCAATTTCTAACAGAAATACACAAATTATTATATAAGACAAGTTGCAAAAGACCAATCTCCACTGGATGAGTCGGCAAAACTGTGATTTAATAAAATTCACTTGCAAGAGTTTGGGTTCCAAATTAGCAGCTTTAACACGGCAATCTTACGCAAAAACTTTGTGCTGTGAGTGAGCTTATACCTAAGATGCTGAAACATCATTATGAAGCAGAATTTGTGAAGGAGTGCCTAAAGTGCATATTGTGCATTTTGTACAAACACTCAAACAGTCTGCATTTACTCTGAGGAACTGAAAGTCTGTGGTGTGCAAAACTTATTTTGTTGGCATTTGTTGAGATGTGTGTGTCGTTCTATGTTGATCTGTGATATCTCAGACGGTAAACTTTTTTTAAACTGTTCACTGACATTTAAAAGGTTGAAATTCTGAAAATGAATGAATATTTGGTCTTTATAATCAGGACTGATGTTGTTTAAAATAACTTCTGACCGAAAAATAAACTAATCTGAATGCATGATATTACTTATGGCAGTTTTCTGTGGCAGCCATTTTTATCCTTAAAGGGTTAGTTCACCCAAAAAGGAAAATTCACTTGTGCCATATATGCACACGAAAGTGAACACAGCTCTGAGCTGAGGATAAGAGAGGACATTTAGGATAAAAACATGTAATGACGCAGTTTTGAGTCAAATTTAAATGTCCTGGCTTACAGACACCACAGGAGCAGTAAGGAGGCATTGTATGTGTCTTTTCTGTTGTTGTTTTTTAAGTTTGAAGAATTGATCCCCAGTTATTCAATAATATTGGATTTAGCTAACACACTTGGAGACTCCTAAAGTGTTTTGTGGACTCAAACATTTCACCCACCTCTCCATCAGCATAGCAGTGAGTAGATAATGAGTGAATTTTAATTTCTAGGTGAATTATCCCTTTCAGTGTTGTAGCTGCAAAGAATTGTGGGGCGTCATTTTCTCCTTACTTTTCACAAAGGACGGTGTAATGTTTCCTATGCTACAGGAGATGACTTAGGAAGCACTGAAGTTCCTTTCCTTACCCTTTAGAGAGCAGCTCTGATTGTTATGGCGGCCGCTGGAATACTTCCGGGTCATTTCACTCAGTCAGGGGGTTTCCCTGAGCAAAAAGCACTTTCTGAGCGCAGCCATGGTCTCGTCGGTGGACGATGACCACAGACTGTAAATGGCCACAGGCTGTTCATGACGGAACAACCGACAGACTGCTCCTCCGTCTGTGACCGCGAGTAACCCCACTGACGTCCCCGCTGCTGCAAGCACGCGCCACCACCGGCGCTCCAATCGCTGACGGAGCGTGGTCGTGACGTCACACAGCAGCTTCCGGGCTGGCAGCAGTGTTCCCGGCGATGCTCAGATTTTGAGGTTTCACCAGTTTTAGACCCGTTTTGTCTTGAAATGGAACAACGTGTTTGATTCCCAACAAAACACGCCGCGTCTGAAAGATGATATCAGTGTAGAATAAGAAGGTCCCAGTCGCCGGGATACAGTGACGCGCTCCGGTGGCTCCTCGGCTCAGACGTAGCGAAGGAGAAAGGAGGTGAGAGAATGTGTTGCTCTGCAGATGTTGATGAGAGCGGCTGATTGTTAGCCACCGGCTAGCTCTGCAGCGAGCTACGTCTCCTTTACTGCGCCACACGTCCCTCAGCAATATCACGTACCTTCAGCGCGTTTACCCCCCCAATTGTGTTTTTATGAATGAATAGATTTTACGACCTCATTAGTGGCTCATGCACTGGATGCAGCGGTTAACTTCGAAGCTAAGTGTTAGCTCAACCTGCTGTGCGAGCCGCTAGCTTGTCTGTGAACTGTCCGCTAGCTTACTAATCTTCATGCTGCTTCTCTGGCCTCTGTTATAGCCTCGTGTACTCTCTTTGTTATTATGATTCACCTTATCACATTTGATAATCACCACTCATGGCATCAATGCACCATCTGCAGGTTATCAGCATTTCGTAAACTGATCAGATGCCGGTAGCTACTATCTCAGATATGGACACAGATCAAATCGTCGATGTGACAGAGATGCTGGCATCAGAAGAACAGAGGGAATGTGAAGCATGTGGACATTTATCTGATTTGACTGTGTGTACGTTGGGCTGGAGCAAAGAAGAAGGGACATTTACTAATTTAACAGATGCTTTTATCCCCATGCACTAAATCTTCATTACAGTAGAATACTTTGGACTAAGCGTTTGGAGAGAGATTGTACTCAAGCATCATCCTGATCTCCTGTGATGATCAGTCAATACTCTACTTTACAACACAGGCATTACTTTTGTATAGATGGATAACTCATGGGCTGCAAACCTGGAAATTGGGATGCTTTTTGAAAATGATCTGTGGTGTTGGTAGTATATATAAATATGTTAGCTGAAGACGCTGTCATTGATTCATCCATACACCTTGGTAAAATTGCTTTTTGGATCCTATTACTCTTTATATGGTTGTACTAGCTGCAAAATGTAGTTTTCTCTGATTGAACATACCTCAATGTGTGTGTGTGTGTGTGTGTGTGTTTGATATGGCTGTTACTACTAAAAAACAAATAGGGTGAATGTCAGCTTTATAGTATGATAAATATACAATGGGGGTGGATTTAAATTTACAGTAACATTTTCATGATGATGAGCTGTAAAGCAGCATATTAATTTCAAATGAGCCTTTATCTGTCATTCTCTTTTTATTGCCTCACAAGAATTAAACTGGAACAACAAAGAGAAAAACTGAAATACCAACCACTCTAATGAGACGGAGAAAAAATATATCAACACTTTTGCTAAAAATCATAATGCTCCAGGGAACATTATTGTTGAAATAAGAGATAAGCAAAGAACACACAACTGAACTTGTATTACAGGTATCAAACTCAAGACTGCCCAGGTGACATCTGTGAGTGATCGCTCAGCCCAAACGCGACCAAACCGGGGCAGTTGGTTGTGACAGGCTGCAAAACAGGTTCACCCCTCCCCAAGTTAAACCAGTGATGCATCTTGTCTTTAGAATAATTCAGGATTCCAGATCCAGCCTCAGCTTTGTTTGGAGGAGAGGGAGCAGACAATGTGCATTCTAACTTTTAACAAAAATGAACACAGAAAAAAAGATAGATCTAATTGGCTTTTTTAACTCGTAACACTGTATACACCTACATTGTGATTATTGATTTGAGAAGAAGTACCTTGTAGTAATTTCTTCAGGGTCTGCAGTTAACTGTCATGTTAACTGTCCAGATGAGGAAGCACTTGCATCAACATCCATGTGCGCTCAAGCAAGTGCTGCATTTGTGTCGTGTAGGAACAAACTGACCCCTACAATGTAAGATTGTCATTGTCCTTAACGGAAGCACAGGGGCGCAGTGCAGGTGACACGTTAACTGAAGTTAGTGCTTACACACGCACACACACACACACACACACACACACACACACACCTCTGTTTACCAAGGGATTGTAGCATGTTAGACACATTAAATAGTTACAAATTTGTTTAAATAAACAAGAACTCCTATAGACGTTGTGGAACGTGCTGCTATATCTGTAAAATTACTGAGTAATAGTTAGGTTGTGTCTTGTAGCTTGTGTTTGCATGTGGCCATGAGCTGCCCACCTCTGGGGTCAGTGTCAGATTCTTCTCACTGCTGTTACTTCAGCTGGCCAGGATTTATGCTAACCTCCCACGTGACCTCAGGCCCTCTCCTTCTAAGCTGCAGAATGAGTCACTGCTGATACTTTGAACGTGTTCCCATTCCGTGGCTGCAGGGCTACACTGTGCCGTTTACACCTAAGGATGCACTAGAAATAGCTGAGATAGTCTGAGAGGATCCAACTTTATTTGTTTGTTTCTTTTCGTTTAGCCAAACAACTAAGAGCAGTGATGATTCGAGCGCTTGATTGTATTTGTTGTAGGTCCACACCATTTACTGAACAGTTCTAATGTCTCTTTTGCAAGACAATGTCTCTGTTTTCCAGGTTTTGATCAGTGCACGTCTCCTCAGGAGGTGACAGTTTGTAGAAGAGGAGCAGGGAGAGGTTTTTACTTATAGCTTAGAGGTTGCCATGGCTCTGCTTCTGAATGATTTGGTATTGGAGGTTGTTAGACAACCTGTTCCAAGTCAAACAGCTCGACAAGTATGTTCACTTCCTTTTGTTTCAAATTCATTTCAAGTTCTCACAAAAGGCCTGAAGCAGTTTCCATTGTCAAAGAGTGTTAAATTGACTCAAGGGCTTTAGTCCTCACAACTTCTAAAAGAAATTAGTAAAATAAATGATAGTGATAATCGTTAATACAGTTTTATTTAAAAGGGCAGCACTTCTTGATTTTAGCCTTGATTCTTTTCAGTGAAAAGTAACACCAACGTTTGTGTCTCGTTCACCTTGACCTGACAGATATACAGCCAGAAGAGACCACCCTGAAGGATGCACTTATTATTTTCTAATAACTTTGTTTAATACAAATCCTGGCACTTGATTTTTTCTATTTCTTTGTTGCTTTTTTGTCTTTATGAAATGCATCCATATACATTCTCTAAACATCCAAGATTTCATGTTGTGTTGCAGGTCTGGTTGTCCTGCTGCACAGAAGAATCTCCGCCTGCAACCTTCACCTTCAGCAGCAAGTAAATACCTTACAGAGCAGTGACAAGTGCGTCATCATTGCGCTCCTGGTTTGATTCCCCTCCAGCAAGGACTTCATCTGTGAAGATGAAGTTAAAGGAGGACATGAACCCCCTGCTACTGCAGGTGTTCCGCTCTGTTGTCTGGGTCTACTCTGTCATCACCTTTATACCCTGGTACTTCTTCTCCGGAGCAGGCAGTAATTTGAAACAGGCACGCCGCATAAAGGCGCTCTCAGTGAGCAATCACCCAGCGGGTCCCTACAGGGCCATCAACAGTCAAGAGAAGCTGGTAGCATGGCTGCACCCTGGGGTGGACACCCTGGATAAAGTGTTTGAATACGCTGCAAAGAGGTTTCCACAGAGAGACTGTCTGGGCACCAGGGAGGTTCTCAGTGAGGAGGACGAGATCCAGCGTAATGGGAAGATCTTCAAGAAGGTGAGAAACATCACCCTGTCCCTTGTACTGAGAAACAAATTCATTATGCTTTTAAATGTTGTCAGGAACAAGAAAGCAGTAAAGTCCCATCAGTCATTTTATTTTTGTAAAACTGTTCAGGTTGATCTGTGTTACTGCAGGAAGTTTGTTTGTGTCTGTGAGGCTGACAACACAGCCCACCGCTGTGCACAGTTTGAGGAATGAAGGTGGAAGAGCAGCAGCGTTATCGCTCCTTTGTTTCACACCTGACAGCTTCCTCATTAACAACTGCAATGCTGCTAAAGCCCTGCAGATGGTGCTGAAAGACTGCACATCAGTAAAGATGATATGACCGATGACAACATCAGATTATTGCCAGTTATCTCTTACCTGCCACTCTGTGTTACTTTTTACATACTGTAATGCGAAGTAGTGCCGTATTAATTCCACCAACATCTTGAATCTCTTAAACACCGTTCAAATATATCTATTTATAAAAGTGTTGAAGAGAGAAAATGCTCTGAAGCGACCCAGGCAGATATTTTCCCATTGTATAATCTAGCATGTGGAGATATTCCTGATAATTACACATACCTTTGCATGTAGGTAATTCTGGGCAACTACAACTGGCTGTCATACGAGGAAGCCTACCAGGCAGCAAAGTGTTTTGGCAGCGGCCTTGCGTCTCTTGGCCAGAAGCCTCAGTGTAAGATCGCCATCTTCTGTGAGACCAGAGCAGAGTGGGTGGTGGCAGCACAAGCCTGCTTCATGTACAATTTCCCACGTGAGTCCCAGGAAATCAAACTTGTGTATTCAGACATTCTCCGATCTACACTGAAGCACTTGAGCTGACTAAACTGGATTGTAATTTGACAGTTGTGACGCTGTACGCCACCCTTGGACCCACGGCTATCGCCCACGGCCTGAATGAGACAGAGGTGACACATATCATCACAAGCAAAGACCTGCTTCATAGCCGACTTAAGGTAATGCTTTACTATCTCCCATCACGTCAAACAAGCACTTTAAATACACCAAATGGCCCTGACTGATTTTTTGATTATTTGAATTGGTATTCAACAAAAGCTCAGTTCTGATTGCATAACTACTTTTCTTTCTTACTCCTACTCCTCCTCCTCCTCCTCCATCCAACATACATTCAACCTTTACACCCCAGGCCATACTGTGTGATGTGCCGAGGCTGCAGTACGTCATTGTAGTGGACAGTAAACCCACAAGCTGGCCAGACATCCCCAGAGGCATCATGGTCTACAACATGGATGCTGTGAAGGAGATGGGATCCAAGCCTGACAATAGTGAGTGTTCGTGCAGCGGGATTAAAAAGGTTTCTAATTTTGTCGGGGGAAATTGAAGTACTCTGATGGAGGCTTTGGAGGCTTAATACAACGGCAACACCCCCATGTGTGATTGGAGTGAATTGCTGTGTAAGTAAGTGGTCAAGCATGATAATGATCAACTTTTTAGGAAAATGAGGAATAACAGAAATTGTCTGCAGTGTATCACTTGAGCCATGTTTATACTTTTCCTCTGATTTGATAAAGAAAACAATCGTAGAGCTTGTAGACATTTCTGTTTCATTGTATGATTTCATACTAGTCAAGCAAAACAAACATATTTCCTGAAATTTTATAAACTAAATATAGAGTAAATAATTAATCATTTGTTATAATATATAATAAACAGCTAAAATGTGTTAACATGGTGCATTTCCTCACTAACCATCACCCCCTCTTGTCTTCTGTCTCTTAAGTGGCTGTCGAGCACAGACAGCCGCAATCCTCGGACATCGCTGTCATAATGTACACCAGCGGCTCCACAGGCATCCCCAAGGGTGTCATGATCTCCCATGGCAACATTATTGCTGGTATCACTGGCATGGCTGAGAGAATTCCTAACCTCAAGTATGCAAATATAAATTTTGTTTTGACACTTTGTTTCTTTCTCCTGTTTTCTGCAACTCTCTGAATTTACATTTAAATATCAGGCTCATTCTCTTTTTCCTCAATGTTTTGCCACTGAAACACACACTCAAGTCTTTCCTCACATGCTTCTCTTACCATTCATTCACTCTTTGCATCACATACTCTATGTTTTTGCTTTTGTCTATATTGTAAATTAAGCTGCTTGTTATTTCTGTGCTGGCAGTGAGACAGACACCTACATTGGCTACCTGCCGTTGGCCCATGTTTTAGAGCTCAGCGCTGAACTGGTGTGCATCTCTCATGGCTGTCGCATCGGTTACTCCTCCCCTCAGACTCTGGCCGACCAGGTCAGTATTTGAACACACCCACACACACCTTGTGTTGCTGCAGTCAGTATCATATGTCTCTCCTGGATGCATTACACATATATTTTACTTGGACTCAGCTCTTCTGTATCTGAAGCTAAGATAGAAATTATAATTTGTGCATTTTCTTAGACTCAAGTTTCTCCCTTCGTAAAACATCCTTAGATTCTCGCTGAATTTGTGGACCTTTAAAAGGTCTCCCTTGACTTCCGCTCCTTGTCTTTAACAACCATTCCAGGCATAATCCATTCAACATGCCTATGGTTTCTTTAAGAGCTTTGTGTGGTCAGACAGCGGCCACTACAGCTCTACATCAGCAAGAACTGACAATTGTCTTCTTTGTTTTCCACAGTCCACAAAGATAAAGAAGGGCAGTAAAGGAGATACCAGTGTGCTAAAACCTACTCTCATGGCTGCTGTACCAGTAAGTCTCCTAATCACTGCACAAACCCAGTCTGACTGACATTACCTGTCATTATTAAAGTCACACCTTTTAGAAAAATGTCAACAAATGAGAGCCCGGGCTTTGACTGTGAGTTTTGCCGCCTTGTGTGTGCAGGAGATCATGGACCGGATCTACAAGAATGTGATGACCAAAGTGGAGGAGATGAGCAAGTTCCAGAAGACGCTCTTTGTGCTGGCTTACAACTACAAGATGGAGCAGATCTCTAAAGGCTACAGCACGCCTCTCTGTGACAGGTAACACACAAACTATTCCTGAGTCTTCAGCAATGCCCCCTTCATTTTTCATTACGTCTCTTGTTATACAGCACTGAACGTAAACCTCCGTTTCTACATAATAATCATAACCTAGTGCAAATTCATCATATAACCCTAAATGTCAACGAGCCTCTATAAAAAGTGTGTAATGATATTGATTCCGATATTGTGTGAGACTCATTATCTGGATGCTATGAAGAATGGCCTTTTCAGTCTTTGTGGTGCTGTTACAGTCTCTTCCACCTCTCGCTCATCTTCATGCTCTGTATTTTTGTCTTCATCCCTCTCTGCCTCTGCAGTCTGGTTTTTAAACGGGTGCGTTCGCTGTTGGGAGGCAACACGCGGGTGCTACTGTCTGGCGGAGCGCCGCTCTCAGCTGCCACACAGCGCTTTATGAACATCTGCCTGTGCTGCCCTGTGGGGCAGGGCTACGGCCTGACGGAGACCTGTGGAGCCGGCACTATCAGCGAGGGTACGATGGATGGAAGTGAGAGGACGTGAAAATAATTTGTATCTATATTTATCGTGCTAATTCAGGTATCTTTGCTGGTGTTTTTCAGTTTGGGACTACAGCACAGGACGGGTTGGTGCTCCACTCATTTGTTCAGAGATCACACTTAAGGACTGGCATGAGGGTGAGTCCAATCTCAAAAATCAAACCAAGCTTGAAAGCAACTAGAAGTGGCCCAACAGTCTCCGGATGAAACCACATTTAAACTCACTAGATCCAGAATTCTATTTGGATCTGCACCAAATCGCACACACTCATAAATATCAGTCCTATAAACATGTCTGATTTTTTTTTTCATCAAGACCAATGAATTATAGATAAATCAATGAAAATGTTGAAAAATAAAAAAAATCGTGGAATTGCCTTTTGATCCAGATCCAGACTAAAAGTTAATGGATTCTTCCTTTGATCATGACCCACCCCTGCACAAAATGTCATGGAATTCATTTAGAAGTTTTTGCATAATCTTTCTTACAAACCAACAAACATACCCTCCTTGGCTGAGGGAACAAACACACCAATAAGTTCTTTTCTTTTTCCTCTAGGTGGTTACTTCAGCACAGATAAGCCCAACCCACGGGGAGAAATCTTGATCGGCGGGCCCAATGTAACGATGGGTTACTACAAAAACGAAGTCAAGAATCGTGAGGACTTTTTCGTGGATAAGAATGGCCAGAGATGGTTCTGCACTGGAGACATTGGGGAGTTCCACTCGGACGGATGCCTCAAGATCATCGGTAAGAAATCCACAAAGCAGTGTATAATGCATGTGTGTTGTCGCTGATGTTTATGTTTGAAATGTTGACCGTCTCCTCCTATAGATCGTAAAAAGGACCTGGTGAAGTTGCAGGCAGGCGAGTACGTGTCTCTAGGGAAAGTGGAGGCTGTGTTGAAGAACTGCCCTCTCATTGACAACATCTGTGCCTATGCTAACAGGTAAAATTCTGCACTCGCTCTCCTTTAATTTGCTCAAAATGACTTTTGACTTCACACACGCCCTGTAACAACAAACATTTAAGAGTCATCAGTTCTTTTTTTCCTCCTTTTTTCAGTGACCACTCGTATGTGATCAGCTTTGTGGTGCCGAACCACAAGCAGCTAATGGCACTGGCGGAGCAGATGCAGGTGCAGGGCACGTGGGAGGAGCTCTGCAACAACTCACAGATGGAGAAAGAGGTCCTTCACATCATTACTGAAGCTGCTATCTCAGGTAGGAAAAACAAATCTGAGCTCAGAGAGAAAACACCAGATTTGGGAAGACAGCATCTCTTGCCTTGTGCCAGACTTTGCACTAGTGTCACGCTGTAACTGTCAATCTCAGATTCTGATTTGTTACTTTCTTCCCTTCGCCCTGACCAGCAAAACTGGAGCGATTTGAGATCCCCAAGAAGATCCGGCTGAGTTCTGAGCCCTGGACACCAGAGACTGGCTTGGTCACCGATGCGTTCAAACTGAAACGCAAGGAGATCAAAACGCATTACCTGGAAGACATTGAGAGGATGTACGGTGGAAAATAACACACTCCAAACCACACACAAACACACTCACACATACCCAAGGAACTCAAAGGCCTCTACCAGGACAACATGGAGCTGTAAGTTAGATACAGGTAACACACACACATTAATACAGACGCAAAGAGCGTCTCATACACCTCTTCATCCTCGGCTTCCCTGCGACCAGCTTTGATCAAAAGAGGGGACTTTGTTCTTGAATCCGACTAAATGCTTTCTGTGACGACCAAAAGGCAAGAAGGTCCCCCGCAGACAACGGAACCAGCCAGACACTAACGATGCAACGCACTCACCACTACTCTTTGATGGATTTTTTGTTTTAGCCCCTTCGAGTTGCTATGACAACTGAGGCGGCACACAAAGTCTGATGTCTGCATGACTCGGAGCAAAACAAATGTCAGGCTAGACGAATCTGGATCAGTGTCAGAACCCCCCTCCCTCATATCTCTGTTGCTTCTCTTCCTCCCCCTTCGCATGGTGGTGGACTTGCAGTGCAGACACCTGGCAGGAGACATGAATAGAAGGATCCCTCCTGGACTTTGAATTCATGTTCAGGTTGGAGTCTATGCAGGGATCTCTATCATCTTATTTTTTTTCATAGATATATATGTGTTGCTATGTTTCCCTCAAGTTTGGTTTTCAGTTTTGAAACCTATTTGATTTAGTTGGTTTTTTTTGTATGTGAGGAATCTGTGTTGTAAAGCCATGAGAGATTGAGCAATGAAGGTGTTTTTAAATACTTTTTTCAAGCTGTTATTCTATTATTTTATTATTATTAAGTGTTTATTTTATCATTCCTATTTTTTGGTTGACATATTCTTTATGCTTATTTTATTTTAAAGAACTTTGTATGCAAGCTTTCTTTCTCCCTTTATTTTCTCATGTCCCAAAGTTTGTACATTTGAGTTTGTGTTTACTGACTTGACTCCAGTCCTCAATCCCCTCTGATCTCAACCTTTGCGGCAGAGTTTTTTTCAATTCCTACACTTTCTGACCAAATTTAATTTTTCTCCATATTGGAACAGTGCCTCCTACTGGATGCCTGTGTCTTTTTGGCTATTTTCTTGGCATCGTTGATCCCCTTCAGACCTTTGGGTATCAATTTGGGTGTTGAGCAAAGGGGTGAATGCAGCCAAACGTGTCCTCAACACATTCTCAGATCCAATCGCTCAAAACACGTTTGCAAGAGTTCACAAAGCATTCTTTTCGCTGTATTAATGCCAATGCATGCTGGGCCACATATGAAGGACCACCCGGCGTCTACTCAGCTGACGTCCTCTGACGAGCTACAGTTTCATGATCTATCAAATATATTTTTATGCTTCTCAATGATCATACTCAGCCCCTCGTGACTTCACTCTCTCACTCGCTGAGGCACACACAAAAATTGTCATCGGATGATTGTGTAAACATAAACTGGGTAAAAACAGCCTGATTTGTCTTTGGGAACAGAAATGACACATGTTTATTTGCACATAGAGTAGGGAGGGAGATTTGATCACAGGAGTCATGTTCAGGACTCATTTTAAAGTCGGGTGTGAACAGGCGTGTGATCAGATCTCTCAAGACAGATGTTGATTCCAGGTGTGTACAGGGGGATTGATCTACAGTAGCCCTGCAGCAGCAACTAATGACCAATGCCTCGTATGGATGTCTCTAATGAGGGAACCCAGCCCACTACAGAAAAATCGCTGGTGTAACCGTACATGTTACTCCTCTTGCCATAGGTCTATTACTTTTATCCCTTTTTTTAAACTTCTGAATATGATATACAAAATGAATGTGCAATATTTATACACAAAATGTAAACTGTGTAGGAAGGATAGTAATGCACAGACAACAGCCCCTCCATTGTGTATGAATGTCTAGGCCTGTTACTGTCCACCTCAGTGCATCGTGGGAAGTCTGTAGGAAAAAAATAAGCCGAGAAATAGTTAAGATTAGAACGGTAGAGAGACACTGATAAAGAAGTCTAGATGTAGCCCGTTTATAAGTACCATGCTGAAAGATGTGATTTTTTTTTTTTTTTACATGAAACTTGTAAGGTGAAAGATTTTAACTTTTTGGCATTGTAGAAATTGCATGATGAAATGTGTGCAACTGTACCAAAGCACCTAAATATATATTTGAGAGAGAGAAGCCGGAGAACAGCGCTCCCAAGGAATCCCTCACTCCTTTAATTAATCGCGAGCAGACGCTGACTTGACTTCACCGAGTGCAAATAACGTTTCTCTATCTCCAAATTAGTTTATGTGTATGATACCTTTCGTGCAATGTATATAAGAAGCTCTTAGATTCTGTTAACTGCCATTTATTTGAACCCACGTATAACGGGCACATTGATTACTGTAGGTTTTTCAGATTGGTAGTGAAATGGCAGCATAAATACAAACTTGCTTCAGCATCTTTTTGTTTTCTTTAGGTTTATGGACACAAGGTTAAACTGTGTTCGGCCGGTGGTCAACATCTTTCTTTCAGCTCTTTCTCTCAATGCAAATCCTGTTTTGCTTTTACTGAGGACAAATGGCAGGACACACTGTAGGTATTGTCAATAAAACACTCTTACTTAAATATCTACGAGCTTAAGACACACGAGTTATTTTAGCATGTAGAAATTTGAAGATACCCTCATCAAACTGTTTTTGTAAATAACATCTCTCTCCTGACGTTTCAGTGAAAAGTCAGATTACTGTGCTGTTTGCTGCTCTTTCCTCTGCCCAACCAGAGGCGGCTAGTTGCCTTCAGACACACGTGAGCTATCTCCAGGTGTTTTAAAGAATGTGAAGCACTCCCTGAATTCCGTGGATAGCACACACACGCTGTGTCCAACTATCTACACATCCATTTGAACTAACGGCAAAGCAAAGACAGCGGGGGGGTGGGGTGTGAAGATGAATTTCACGTCTCCTGTTGTTTTCATTTGCAATGTAAATATTTCTAGAGGGGGTGGGGGATTGATGATCAAACTACCAATAACTGTACAGGTGTAAAGCCTCCTATTGACATATTTAATAATCTTTGTTACTGACAAAAGCTTGGAGTCTCCTCCTCATTTTTTGTGGTGAAGCAGCCCAGCGAGTCGGGCTATTGCAAGTGTCTCCTTCTTTATTTATTTGTGATTTGGCCTTGGAAATTATGTAATGAAATAAACTAAAAGGTTTGTGTTGTAATCTCTCTCTCTGAATATGTTGAACACCTGAACGCAGCTTGTGAAGCATAACGTGTGACTGGTACGATCAGCGGCTTGATTAGAATCATCCTGAAACCAGAGTTTCTATGGCAACAAAGGCAAACGTGTGTGTGTGTGTTTGAGTGAATGTGGTTTGTGAAAGACTTGTGCCAAACAGAACATGCAGTTCTGGGAGTCAACCTTCAATCACAGCTTATAAACAAAGGGCCTTTTTCTTTATTTCCCTTTCAGACAGAGTCAGAGTTGAAAGATATTGAATCACGTGTGTAGTTGGTTTATTAAAGCTTGTCCTTCTTCTCTGTACACGTACACCTGCTGCTGCATCCTGCTGCTTTATGAATATAAGTCTGTGCAGCAGGTCGGCACAATGTCCACTAATCAATTCACTGAGGATCAAACCTAAGCTTACATCAATATCTGGCTTCAGGTAATGGTTATTTTTAGTATCAGCTAATAGTCTGGGTTTGACATATTTGAATTTTTTATTTTAGCAACAGTCCAAACTCCAAATATATTAATTATACTATCACTGAAGATGGAGGAAAATCCACAAATATTCTTGAACCAGATCATTTCTTTACACCTTACACCTTCTCTGATTATCCAATTAGAATCTAGTGGTCAAAGGTCACGGCCACTCTGACCTCATGAAATACATTTTTGATCACAACTCAAGAAGTCATGCGGTAGTTATGAACAAATTATTAACAAATGTCTAACAGGATAAAATGATGGAAGTGATGAGGGTCAAAGGTAAACATCACTGCCTTTTCAGGCCAATGTTTAATAAAACACAGGAACAGAAAAGATCATATTTCAGCAACTAGGTAAAGGAATAAAACCATGAAGTGGTAACAATTCTTTTCCCCCCTGATGATTGACTAATCAGATAATGAGATCATTGCTTCAGCTCTAATCTGCAGCAGAAAATCTGCAGGCAAATAAATGAGGCTATTATTTCATATTTCATGTAGAAACAATATAAACCTGTCTTTGTTTCCAGTTTGATTCGTTTAATTTGTTGTGTCTTACTCTGCCTCCTAGTTTTGAGCTTTTCTCAAACAATGAATCCAAATAAGTAGAATTCAATTAATTAAAATGACACTATATGTGAAGTTCACTGAGCCATATAAATCTTGTAATATAATTAGAATGAAATCAGAACTGAAGATTTGATTTATCGGAGAAGGAAAAGCAGTTCTCTCGTTCTGCTTCATTTATGTCGACAAATCCCGGGAGGAAAAGCAATCCGTCACAATATGGGTGGTTAAAAATCTGCTTCTGTGTTTTATTTAAAAATAAAACAGTCACTGCAAGACCACAGAGAGACGAGCGATTCTCTCCCAACCCCTCCTCTCCTCTACTCCCTCCATCTAACCTTATGGGACTAGTGGGTGAGTCAGAGGCATAATGCTCCCTTCATTAGCCCACTGATTCTGACACACACACACACACACATAACAGAGTGGCTTTACAAGCACCACCAAGCAGGAAACACTGAAGGACATCCTCCATATGGTATCAATGTGATTTGTGTGTATGTGTGTGTGCGTTTGTCCTTGTCTTCTCTTTACTCTCTTAACTCTTTCAACTATTCTCTCTCTCTCTCTCTCTTGGTTCACTCTTCCTGTTGAGTTATGACTCAGAAGTGCGCAAAAAACTTTTATCCGTGTTTGTGATTTATGCGAACACCCCAGCGCCAGCCAATAAGCCAAATTGGAGTTTGCCCAAGGATGAGCTGAGCCGAGCTGAACTGGAGCTGCCTCATAACTCTGGAGAGGGTTTGACCCCTCATTTCAGCCCTAACCCTATTCACCATAGGGTGAATAACTCTGTGCTGCTTGCTCGAAACGTGCTGAAATTTGGTGTGGGTGCGTGGCTGTCTCCCCTTTACTATCCGTGAAATGCCCAAGTCTCTATGACGTTCAGAACAAAAGTTATTCAAAAATATTGTGTACTTTTTTGTTGAGATTTGGTGGTTTGACCCCTTCCGNACATGCATGCACACACTCACAAGTCAGTGCATGTGAATGATTCTCGCCATCAGCTCCCTCCGACACCCCCCCCCCCCCCCCCCCCCCCCCCCCCCACCCATCCCCCGCTCCCCGGGCCTGTCACTCAAATGGTCCCTGTGAAACAGCGAAATGGGATTGGCCGACTCTGACAAAGGAGGCAGTGATTGACAGGCGTCGACAGAGCGTGTGCGAGCAGCGTGTCGGAGCGCTGGGCGGGGAATCGGCTCGACAGTCAGTCAGTCAGTCAGTCAGTCAGTCAGTCGTTCCCTGGGTTACTCTGCCGTCGCCTTCAGTTTATCTCTACATCTGTTTCAGACTCTTATCTGCTCCTTAAAGTCTGTTTTATCCCCTCGATGGTCAAAACTATCCGACGGCGTGAAGAGATGATTTCACTCAACTCTCAGCTCAGATATTATCTTATTTAAAGATGTCATCATGCGTACCATCAAATTTCTTGAAATGCTTCGGCGTCTATCGCAGACATCTCGACGTATTTGCATATTTTCTCTGGTTTATAAGAGTAGAGATGAAATTGTGTTTCTTGTAGAAGAAGATTTTTTTTTTCTTTTTGGAGATTGCCTCCCTCGTCCCGCCTCACGCTGTGCCTGTGTTCTCTCTCCGTCGCTTTTCATTTTCAAGGGTCTTCACTGGCACGATAACATAATCTTTGTGCTGCCAGAGAAAAAAGAGCGGAACACATTTCCTGTGCATCTCGATGGAGATTTAACAAGCAAACACTGACTCCTGTTCGCGGCCCCGCTCCTCCTTTCTCTCCACGTCAGCTCTGTGTGTGTTTTCAATCTGCATCCGTTTGCTGATCGGATCATTTCCAGTCAGTGTCGTGTTCCACTGATATGAGGGAAACAACATAATTTAATAGATTCCATATCATACAATTAATCTGCTTTGTGAAACTCTATCCTGGACTCGTTCTGCCGAGAAGTTTTCATTCTGTTCTCCTGCTGCGTCCTCACATGGGCTCATTCGGACATTATCCTGAGTTTTTACCCACGGGGCTGCAGGAGAAACTCTGGAGAAACTCTGGAGCCTCTGAATCTGACATGTGTGTATGAAGATCTCAGCTCTGGTCTATTACTTTAAGAAATTCTAAAAAAAAGAAGCTGTCCTTTCTATCTTTTTTTATCTGGAAGAAACTGGTTCCATTGGATCTGAAGCTGCTTTCATGAACAGATTCTGATGAAGGGATCAGTCTGATTATATGATTTTAAAACAACTATGTCATCAACCTTTATTCAAGATCTATGATCTTCATTTGCCTCTAAAATACTTTTCTGAGCAGAACCACGTTAGAAAACTTTATTTTTGCCACGTATGACTTTTTAATATTTGTTTATTTCCACACAAGCATCAGATACAGAAATATCTGCACCAGCTCTTTATAAAATACTCTTGTACTCCAT